GTTTCATAATGTGAGACGTTTTATATTCAAAAACTGAAAGTTATAAATAAATATGATAAAAAGTTGATGAGATGTAAACCCATTTATGGTTTAATGCAAAAAAGAACTAACAGCCGTAAAAATACACGGCCACTTGGGTAAGTTGGTAAAAAAATATATACGGTCTTTAGATAATAAAATCACATTGATAACAGATGTCATCCAGTTATCTGCACTAATGAATGGTGAAAGATTCTCCTAGTTAAGGAAGGTTTTAAAAGTTTTCCATTGTCCAGAAGTGACTATCAGAACAATAAAGTGTTCACTACACAGATATTTAAAGTTAGCAGTGAAAATATGAAAAAATGCATGTGATAGTAATGATATGAAAGAAATATATTTTTTTGAAATAAAGTTTGTGACTTTTTCCCTGAAGTTTGCTGGTGTCCAAGAAGAAAATTAGTTGAGTTCGGATTTGTTTAAACAGGGAGAAATATGGATATTTTATAACATAGTTATCATATTAGAATAAATTGCTTAATAAAATGAATTTCTTCGTATCCTGGGGGCAGGATCAGCATCTTTCCTCACAAAGCGTAGATACTCTATAAATGTATATTGAGTGTTGAGGTGACCCCTGAAATCTAAAACACAGGAACATAAACACCCACTTCAGTACTGTCTACTCCTTCAGTCTATATTCCTGTTAAATTAAAGCAGAGATGCTATCCCTCTCTACTCACAATGCAATCTTCATTTTAGCTCTAAGAATTTTTTCAAACAAAATAATTTTTGCAACATTATCTACTGCTCTCACTGTCTCCCTCACTGGCTTTTTTATTGTCACCACTTTGATTTTTTTTTTTTCTAGGCTGTGCTATATGAGTTTCTTATATCCACTGTAACAAAGCTAGGGAATTAAAACACAAGTACATTCTTTCACAATTATGGAGACCAGAGGTCCAAAACTAAGGTGCTGGCAAGCTTGATTCTTCTGGAGGTCTGAAGGAAATTCTGTTCTATGACTCTCTCCCAGTTTCTGGTGTTTCCAATAATCCATGGTGTCTTGGCAGGTGCAAGTAGCTATATCATTCCAGGCCCTGCCTCTGTCTTCAGATGGTCTCCCCCTCTTCACCAGCCTTTTGATTTAGAGCAGGCTAATCTAATCTTGAAATCCTTAATTATACTCTATAAAGACACATTCCAAATAAAGTATGCTCTGAGGTCTTTAAGTGGACACTTTTCAGCCCAATATAGGGACATTCCAGTGTACTTTTGGTATTACTATTCTTATAAATGTCTTGTTAGCATTCAACCCAACATCATCTGTAAATGTCATTTCTTTTCATACGCATGTTTTCCATCCAGTATCTTTTGTTTAATAGTTGTTTCCCTTTGTTGTTGTTGTTGTAGTTAGATGCTGTAGGGTCAGTTTCAACTCATAGCATGAAATAGAATGAAACCCTACCCTGTCCAGTCCTGCAATACTTCACAATTGTACTTATGTTTGAGCCCATTGTTGCAGTCCCTGGGTCAGTCCATCTTGTTGGCCTTCTTCTTTTTCACTGCCCCTCCACTTTATAAGCATGATGTCCTTCTCCAGGGACAGGTCTCATGTTCCAAGTACGTGAAACAAAGTCTTGCCATCTGTACCTCCAAGGAACATTCGGGCTGTCCTTCTTCCAAGAAAGATCTATTTGTTCTTTTGGCAGTCCCTGGTGCTTTCTCAGTATTCTTCTCCAGCACCACAATTCAAAAGCATCCATTCCTCTTTGGTCTTCCTTATTCAGTGTCCAACTTTCACACGCATATGAGGCGATTAAAAATTCCATGGCTTGGGTCAGGCATAGCTTAGTCCTCAAAATAACATCCTTCCTTTTCAACATTTTAAAGAGGTCTTCTGCAGAAGATTTACCCAATGCAATACATCATTTGATCTCTTTACTGCTGCATCTATAAGCATTGATTGTGGATACAAGCAAGATGAAATCCTTTACAACTTCAATCTTTTCTCTATGAATCATGATGTTACTTACCTGTCGGTAGGTATGAAGATTTTGGTCTTCTTCACATTGAGTTGTAATCCATACTGAAGTCTTCAATCTTTGATCTTCATCAGCAAGTGCTTCAAGTCCTCCTCGCTTTCATCAAGCAAGGTTGTGTCATCTGCATGTTGAAGGTTTTTAATAAGCCTTCCTCCATCCCTGATGCCACATTCCTCTTCATTTAATCCACGATTTGCTCAATATATAGATTGAATTAGTGTAGTGAGAGGATTCAACCCTGACACACACTTTTCCTGATTTTAAAACATGCAATACTTATCTGTTGTGTTTGCACAACTGCCTCTTGCTCCATGTACAGCACAATGAAGTGTTCTGGAATTCTCAATCTTATCAAGACTATGAGACACAGTCGAATGCCTTTAAAATACAAGTAAATTTATTTTTAAATAAAATAAATTTTATCAGATTCAATAAAACACAAGTAAAATTATTCTGATATTTTCTGCTTTGAGCCAAGATCCATCTGACATCAGAAGTGATATCCCTTGTTCCATGTCCTCTTCTGAATCTAGCCTGAACCTCTGGCAACTTCCTGTCAATGTACTGCTCCAAAAGTTGTTGGAGGATCTTCAGCAAAATTTTACTTGCATGTGCTATCGATGATATTGTTCTATAATTTGAACATTCTGTTGGGTCACCTTTCTTTGAAATGGGTACAGATATGGCTTTCTTCCAGCCAGTTGGCCAAGTAGCTGTCTTCCAAATTTCCTGACATAAACAAGTGAGTGCTTCCAGTACTTCATCAGTTTGTTGAGACATTTCAATTGGTATTCCGTCAGTTCCTGAAGCTTTGTTTTCAGTTCAAGTTTTCAGTGCAGCTCGAACTTCTTCCCTTAGCACCATTGGTTCATGCTCATATGGTACCTCCTGAAATGGTGGAATGTTGATTAGTTATTTTGGTACAATGACTCTCTGTATTCCTTTCACCTTTTGATGCTTCCTGCATCCTTCAGTATCTTCCACAGTATTTCAGTTCGAGGCTTCAGTTTTCTCTTGATATCTTGCAGCTTAAGATATGCTGTGCGTGTTGTTCCTTTTTATTTTTCTACATCTAGGTCTTTGTACATTCTGTTATATTTACTTTGTCTTCTCAATTGCTCTTTGAAATTTTCTGTTCAGTTCTTCATCTTTTCTTCCATTTGCTTTAGCTACTCTATAATTAAAAGCAAGTTTCAGTTTCTTCAGGCATCTACTTTGATTTATTATTTCTTTCATGTCTTTTTAGTGACCTTTGCTTTCTTCATAAATGATGTTGTTGTTGTCATCCCACAGCTCATCAGGTCTCTGTTATTAGTATTTAATGCATCAAATCTCTTGAGATGTTTTTTTAAATTCAAGTAAGGCGACTCAGGGCCATATTTTGGCTCTTGTGGACTTGTTTTAATTTTATTCAGCTTCAACCTTGCTTACATATGAGCAATTGATGGTCTGTCCCACACCAGGCCCCATGGCCTGATTTTAGCCTGCTGATACTGAGCTTCTCCATTGTCTTTTCCACAGATGTAGTCAATTTGATTTCTCTATTTTTTCATCTGGAAAAGTCCACATGTATAATTCCTATTTGTGTTGTTGAAAAAAATATTTGCTATGAAGTAGTTTGTCTTACAGAATTCTACTATTTTATTTCTAGTTTTGTTTCTATCACCATGACTATATTTTCCAATTTTTTCTGTTTCCAGCTTTTGCAGTCCAATCACCCATAATTATCAATGCATCATGATTGCATGTTTGATCAATTTCAGACTGAAGACATTGGTAGAATTATTTTTTCCTAATTAAAAAAAGCTTAATTATAACCGGTTGGATTTACAGAGTAGATCAGTTTTAAATTCAACATTCATACGTTTCATTTTGACACATTCAGTACAATTCCCATGATACCTCCCATCACTTCCTCCTTCTCTAACCCTTGTGAACTTTGACCTTGTGTAAATACTATCCGTTTGACCTAACTGGTGTGTTGTTCTAAAGTGTACCTCACTATTATTGTTCCCCCTCAGAGACCTGTCTATTTGGTTGAAAATTGAGCCATTAGGATATCAGGTCTAGATCTGAAGGGTAACTAAGAGCCACAGTCTCAGATTCCTACAGTATCTGACCAGCAAAAGCCTGATATTTTCTAGGATTCTGAGTTTTGTTCAACAGTGTTCTCCCACTCTAGCTAGGGTCTTCTGAAGTGATCTCTTTTGTAGTGGTAGTGGCAGCTGGGCACTACTTAATTTTTCTGATCTTAGGGTTAAGACTGATAATCACCTTGTTCACTAATCCATTGGCTAAATGTTTTCCTATCTTTGATTTTTCAGCATACATTTCTTCTGGACACAGTGAGACCACTAGTTGGACCTTAGATGACTTCTCACGAACTTTTAAGACCTCAGTCACTGTTGGTAGAATTCTTCAGGAAGTTAGGGAGATTGTTTTTAGTATTCCAAAGAGTTAATTTTGATAGATTTTTAAATACAGGATACTCACAGAGGTCTACTGGGAGTTTTTAGAAAATGGAAATCCACAGCAATGAGAAAGGTCAGAAAAGTCTGTGCCAAGGCCTTTTTCCTTCACAACAGTGCACCTGGGTGTTCTTTAGTGGCCGCCCTGTGAGAATCTCGGCTGGCTCACCGTACACCCCCATTTTCCCCCTTCAGACTTCTTTCTGCTCTTGACACTTAAAGAACATTGACACTCAAAGAACACGCTTCGAGCCTCTCAAGGGTGCCAAAACTATCATTTTGACATAGTGTTACTTAAAAGAGTGTAGAGTTCTTTAGGGAATGTTTAAAGAGATAGAAACACTGCCTTCAGAACTGTGTAGACATATAGGGAGATGGTGTGAGAAACAGAGCTTCACATTTTGATATTTTTGTTGAATAATGGGTTTTGTGATTTGGTACCGTACCTTTTTACTTACCCCTCACGCATTTAGTGTCTTGCCAATAAGACCTTTAAAATTGTGTTCCACGATTAAAACCTACAAACTTTTTCAGTACTCCTCTTTTCAAATAAAATTTGATCTCTTTAAAATGCATCACCTACTTTTGTAGCCTAATCCCCACAATCCAGCTAAATATGCAACCTGCAACCTCCTGTGTATGGGAGTGTCCAATTTCAGTCCTTTGCTCTGCTTCTAGAATCCCTTCCCCAGCCCACTTTTAATCTCTCCCCCCCAGGATACTGGTGTCTTCTCTCCACAGTCTCCCTAAACCGCGCAGTGTCAGAAGTAGCTTCTGTGCCATAGTGTCTGGTTATATTTTACTTAAAGGCATGTATTTCTTATATTTAGTAGTAATAGTAAATGTGTCATTGAATTGAAGTACAAGCCATAATGTCACATATAGTATTCTGTACCTACAATAGGCCCCAGGGAGGCAAGTACCATGACTTTATTTCTTTTTGTCTCCCATTGCATGTAATGCTGAACTTGTTTGTTGATTAAATAATCAAACATTAGAGACAATTTGCTATTAATTCAGATCACTACTTAAAACTCTACTGACCTCCAAGGTTGCTAATGTTATTTTAGTGAATTAATAGTATGTCATTGGAGCCCTGGTAGTGTCGTGGTGAAGTGCTTGAATTTTAGCCTAAGGATTCAAACCCACTAGCCACTCTGTGGGAGAAAGACACTTCCATACAGATTTCAACCCTGAAAACCCTAAAGAGCATTTCTACTCTGTCTATAGGATTACTATCAATCCAAATCAATTTGACAGTGATGAGTTATAGTATGTAGTTCAAAAGCTTGGAATATATGTTTTTTCTCCTAATTTTGTGTATCAGAAATGCTTAAATTGTTATAAAAATGTCAGCATTAAAAATTATATGTGCTTGCTGTTGTATAATACCAACTTAGGGTATTAAAGGTGTACATAGTCATCACACATGTTAAATTTATACTCTAAATAGATCAAAAGAAAAACACATCTACTTTTTTTTTAGGTTGTTGAGCTCAGTATCTGTGAAGAAACTCAAGCATTAGCACTACGAGTCATCCTCTCGTTGACCAAATACAACCAACAAAGAATACATGAATTAGAAAACTGCAATGGCTTTTCCATGATTCATCAGGTGTTGATCAAACAAAAATGCATTGTTGGCTTTCATATTTTGAAGGTATGAGCTCATAAAATGTATTCTCATAGATTCAAATCCAATTCTACTATCTCTTCATCAAGGTGTTCCAACTATAGAGAGAGGCTTTTTCCTCAGTTTTTCCTAAAGATAAAAATGGAACTACGATAATGTATATTTAATCAAAGTGAGGTATTCTGATTCTTGACATCCTTTAAGTAATGACTTTTTGTTTTTCCCTTAAAGTAATTTTTTTTTAGAGAAAGAGAAAAACAGAAACTCATGGAATTTTTGATTTGGATATCCCCTAGATGTCTTGTAGGCCAACCCCTCCGGCTATAGATAGACAGAATTGAGACCCAGGCACTGTTGTGTGCTTCAGAACCACAGTCCAGCTCAGTTCTCCCTACACCTGGTGACATGTCATTTCCATTTGCTAAGACTAATTCTTTAACCTTACTAATAGTCACCACCTCTAGTTTATCAAGATCTAGATCCCTGGTGGTGCAGTAGATGAAGCATTGTGCTGCTAACTTCGAATTCAACAGTTTGAAAGCAAGCCACTCTGCAGGGGAAAGATAACGGTTTTCTACTCCCATAAACACATCTCGGAAACCCACGGGATGGTTCTACCCTGTCCTATAAGGTCACCATGAGTCAGAAATGAATTTGATATATTTCTGAATTAATCCTTATTACTTTTTAGAAAGGGTCTTAAAGCCTAATAACAGATTCAGTCAACTTTGGAAATAGAGAGTGGGATTATATCCAATGTTTGAAACTGAGTAATCATTAAAAATATCTCTGAAGGTTTAGACTTTTTCATTATTTGAATGGCTTTGAAAAATAAAGGTACTTTATGAAATTTGAAGTCATTTATTAGTTTTTAAATTTTTTGTGAGAATATCTTTGTCATTGGGGGTAGAAAATGATCTCTTATTTTTATTCAAAAAGTTAATTTTTGTGTCTGTATTGCTACAAATGTAGTTTACTTTGTGAGCTTAGATTTAAAAAAAAAACTTACTATGGATTTTCTAAAACATATACCAGTGTGTTAGACAGGGTTCTCTAGAGAAACGAAACCAGGACACTTATGATTTTATACATCTATATATATATGTATACCGCACGAAGGAATATAACAGCTAATTAGCAGACAGCCGAGTCTTCCATAAAACAGTCTTTTCCAAGATTAAAAACTTAATTTTTCTGTTTAATATTTGCATTACTCAGTTATTAATGCATCTCATACTAATGCTATTTTGCCTTAGGCCCTTCTTGAAGGTTGCTGTGGTGAAGATATTATTCATATCAATGAGAATGGAGAGTTTCAGCTGGCTGTAGAGTCTAATGCTATAATCCAAGATGTTAAACTATTAGAGGAGCTGTTGTTTGACTGGAAGATATGGAATAAAGCAGAGGTATGTACTTTTAAATATTCACCTAGTACCTCTTCTGAAGAAGAGAATAAATTACTATTTCAGTGTAAATTGTGAATGGAAATATTGAGATTGTTTTCTGTGCAAAGTTTTGATCAGCCTTTGGTAATGCTGCCCGGGAAGGTCAGAATCTGAACGTGGCCTGAGGAGGACCAAGTTGCTAGAACAGAATTCAGGCAAGAGAGCACAGACAGAGTTCATTGGATCAGTTAGTGACTTGCATTTTGAAAAGGAGCCTTGCTTAGAGTCTGGGACCCAGGTCAAGGAATGAGAAGTGAACATACTTCTGGAGTGATAGAGCTGTGACTAGGTTATTTATGGAAGCCTTGATTTCATCCTTGGCATAAGCAAGGATCATACTTTAATCATAGATTTAAACACAGCATCTCAGCATTCGGAATGAAGGAGCAGGTCTTCACCAAGGCCTACGCAGGGCATGACTGTTTGAGTATAGTGCTGTTTCCTTTGTTTCCTTCTGCTTTGGTTTCAACCAGTCTTCATGGTATAGGCTCATACAGGAGTCTTAGTTCTAGTGTAAAACATTTTCCTGAAATACGACAGTTCTAATAGACATTGGTGATCTCTATCAGAAGTTAGGTTGCCTCGAATTTTTAAAAATATAATAAATTTATCATCAAACATAATTATTTAAAGAATGCAGAGTATATAGCTTTAGAATTAAAAAAAATAGTTGTGTCAAAATTTGGTAGGAATCCTAAAGATTTGTATGATATTGCTAATAATGATTTGTGAAGCTGAAACTTTCTTAGTCTAGCATTAATAAAAAATAACTTTTTATTTAAAATGCTAGAGAAAAGTGTTATTATATTCTTCCTATAGAAAATTATATCACAAAATCATTGTTATGAAGAGATAGAACATATTCAGCCACAAAACATAAGGAAAAGATATTATAGAGGTATGTCAGACAGCTAATCAAACTCTTATCTTTCTGGATTTTTTGGCGTTTATGGTATTTGTCAAGTTTTAAAACTTTTAAGTTTATACTTTATTGTGGTTTGTTTTATCATTTGAATAAATTCTCACCTTAAGACCCAAATAACCCGTATGTATTGGTTAAAATACCAATTGGAAGAGTAAACTGAACTAAATACTGGATTCTTTTATTTTCCACTTTAAAAGAAGCTGCTAAGCTAGGGTTGTGTGATTAAAAAATACATTTTTTGTTGTTGTTGAATGCAATGGTAATTTTAAAAATCATATACACACTTACATGGATTTGAAGTGGGTTTCCTTACCTAATTAATTATTTTTTAACTAAGTTTGTGTTTTATGTTGACTACAAGTTAAACTTAGTACTCTTTTATTTTGGTGCTATTTTTCAGATCTGAATCAAGTTTTCATACTTGGGCTTCCTTGTCTTTAGTTTTCATGTGACTTTACCAAGAGCTCTTTTTTCCCTCCAGGGCATCATATGAGTACTATCAGTTCCTTGGGCTTTTGATGTTCATTTATATCAGACAATGGCAAGAGACATAGTAGGAATTGTAACCCAACCTAGTCAATTTTGCTATGTGTTAATAGCTTTGGGGTACTTTGGGCAATAAGATGAAGTGAAGATTATCTTTCAATACTAGTTACTTAAATAAGTAACTTATGGTTACTTCTCCCTTATGGTTAATTTACAATTGATTAAATTTTGGAAAACATTTTAAGGCACCTTAAACAAATTCTGACCATTTACTGAATATACAGTTTGCCCTTGTGTAGAGAATTCTGTTAATTGACCTTAAAAGTAAATTAATCCAAAACATTCGGAATTTTTGCATTGCCAGCAAATTGTTTGAAATTTGGTATATGTTCTAAACTTCCCTGTTTAAATGTTGTGTGTGAAAATTTGCATTCATGCTTATGCCTTTTAAATAATGTTATGAACATATATTATTTGAAAATGATTATAATGAAATATGTGTGACTCTCTATAGTGTTCCGAGTCCTCAAGAAAATTCACCTTGTGAAAATACTTAAAAATCATTTAATGCTAAAGGAAATTACTTTGTTAAAGCACCCAGTGCAATATTGGATTTCATATACGTATTTAGAAGTGACCTATTAACAATAAAATTTGATAAGATGGGAGTAAGTTTTTAAGATTATTTTTCAGGTATATTTTGTCTTTGACAGTGTATATGTACACTAGGCCAATATAGTTCATGTCTTCTAAAAGCATGGAGCATGTTTTTTAGCAGCTATGTGCTAATTGGTATGTTTTTATTGTCTTAGACAGGTGTTTGGGAGACTCTGCTAGCAGCTCTAGAAATCCTCATCAGAGCAGATCACCACCAGCAGATGTTTAATATTAAGCAGTTATTGAAAGCTCAAGTGGTTCATCACTTTCTACTGACATGTCAAGTTTTGCAGGTATTTATGATGTAACTACTTTTAGAGATTTTCTGCAATTGTTTCTGCACTCCATATCGAGGGAATCCCTGGATGGCACAAACCGGTTCAGCAACTAACCAATAGGTTGGAGATTTGCATCCACGCAGAAGCACCGTAGAAGACAGAATTGGCGATCTATTTCCAAAAATGAAGCCATTGAGAACCCGTTGGAACACAGCTCTCAGATATGCAGATGATCCACGACATTCATGGATATATTAGCAGCTGAAGTAAATACACATATACAAATACTCTCTGTCACACTTATTAATGAGTATACTCACTGTCTCTCCCACACCTGTTTAGCCTTTGTTTCTAAGTATCTGTGCATAGATAACCATTATTGTAAAATTGTGTAGCTGTTTTTGACTCTCTTGTCTTTAACTCTTGACAACCTCCCAGTGTCTTCCACTGATTCCATCATTTTTTGCAAACCTTCTCCTTATTGTGTATTGCTTTCCCTTCACCCTGGTTAGCATTTATTTGTCTACCCTCTAGCCTGTGAATTCCCATTCTTCTGTTTCCCTCCCACTCCTGGTAACCATCAAGGAATGTTTCTTTTAGTGTGAAAACTTTTTCCTGACTTTTATAATAATGATGTCATACAATATTTGTCTGTTTTCGGTGGACTAATTGTACTCAGCATCATATCCTCCAGGTTCATCATGTTACAAGGTATAGAATCTTCATTATTCTCTAATGTTGTATAGTATTCATACATATATGAATATCCAAATATATTGTTTCTATCCAAAGAAGCAATATATTATGTATATAATGTTATTATGGTATAATAATATATCATATACATGATACACACGTATATAATATTATTTTATATAGATGTATACACACACACTAAAGTTTATCCATTCTTCTACTAGTAGGCATTTAGATTGTTTCTGTCTTTTTGCTGTTGTGAATGCTAAAACAAAACAACTCGTTGCCATTGAGTCACTGCTGACTGTATGGGTGTTTATATCTTTCTTTGTGTTGCAGCTTTTTAAAAAAATATATGCAAGTACCATATAGACTCGAGTATAGGCTGACCCGAATATCCACCTAATTTTACCACAAAGCCTGCTTTAAAAATGTGCTGGAAAACTCAGCTTATACTTGAGTATATACGGTAAATATTTACCTGATGCCAGTGGAGAGGCCAAGATGGAAGGCACATAGGCAAGAATGGATTTAGGAGTGAAAAATTGAGTTGCATCCATGAGATTTGGGGAGGTACAAGGAATATAATCCAGAAGCACTTATAATTTTAGTAGAAATAGCAATTGGAAGTCAAAGAGATCTATGTTTTTGTTTTGGCTTGGCCACTTAATAGTTGTGAGATCCTGGAAAAAGACTTGTGCGCTTTCTTCTCTATACTCAAATGTTCTCATTGTCAGTATGAGGTTGACAGACTGCATTTCAGAAATCAATATCCAGACCAGTCTTTCCCAAAATAGGTGATATAGCCCTCTGGAGGGTACGGGAATGCTCAAGGGGGGCTGCAAAAGCAGAAGCCTACAGCTAAGCGTGAGTTATGGGCTGTAGTACACAAGTTTTTATTGCAAAGGGTTTCCTCTGTAACTTTTTTCTGAAAGGGTGGCGGTAGGCAAAATAAGTTTGGGAATTTATAATCTAGATTATAAGCACTGATTCAGCAGTGCACAGGAGTAAATATAGAAGTTATATTAGGACACAGGGAAAAGAAGATGAGGAATTGTACCTCTTAGCCTTGATCTATAAACTACTGGGGAGGTATAATTGTTGTTATGTGCCCTTGAATCAATTCTAACTCACAGGAACCCTATGTGCAAGAGAAGGAAACACTGCCAAGTTCTGTACCATCTTCACAATTGTTTCCACAGTTATTGTTGTTGTTGTGGCTAGGTACCATTGAGTTTGTTCCAACCCATAACTACCCTATGCACAACAAAATACTTGCATGGTCCTGTGCCATCCTCAAAATTGTTTTATGTTTGAACCCACAAAACAGTGCAGCCAGTGTCAATCAATTCCTTGAGGACCTTCCTCTTTTTCACTGCACCTCTACTTCACCAAACATGATGTCCTTCTCCTAGGATTTGTTTCTCCTGACAGCATGTATGAAGTAGGTAAGACAGTCTCACCATTCTTGCCGCTAAGGAGCTCTCTGGCCTTACTTCTCCAAGTCGGATTGGTTTGTCCTTTTAGCAGTCGGTGGTATTTGAAATGTTCTTTTCCAGCACCACAATTCAAATGCAAAGATTCTTCTTCAGTCTTCTTTATTCAATATCCAATGCATATGACTTTCACAAGCATATGACTCCATTGAAAACACCATGGCTTGGGTCAGGCATAAATTAGTCCTCAAAATAGCATCCTTGCTTTTCTGTACTCTAGAAAGGTCTTCTGCAACTGACTTACCCAAGGCAATGTGTCTTCTGATCTCTTGACTGCAGCTTCCATGAACATTGATTGTAGATCCAAGCAAGAAAATTCCTTGACAACTTCAACCTTTTCTCCATTTACCTTGATGTGCACTATTGGTCCATTATTGAGGATTTGAGTATTGAGTTGTAATCCACACTCAAAGGCTACAATCTTTGATCTTCATCAGCAAGTGCTTCAAGTCCTCCTCCCTTTCAGCAAGCAATTGCTTGCTGTCATCTGCATGTTGAAGATTGTTAATAAGCCTTCCTCCAATCCTGATGCCATATTTTTCTTTATGAGGTCCAGCTTCTCTGACGATTTATTCACCATATGGATTGAATAAGTGAGATCAGAGAATACAACCCTGATGTACACCTTTTCTAATTTTAAAGCATGCTATGTTCTCTTGATCTATGTACAAGTTCTACATGAGCACAATGAAGTATTCTGGAATTCCCATATTTCTCAAGGCTATCCAAAATTTGTTATGATTCACACAGTCCAATACCTTGGCATAATCAATAAAGCACAAGTAAACATCTTTCTGGTATTCTCTGCTTTCAGCTAAGATCCTTCTGACATCAACAATGATATCCCTTGTTACACATCCTCTTCTGAATCCAGCCTAAATGTTTGGCACCTCCTTGACAATGTAGTGCTGCAACTATTGTTGAATGATCTTCAAAATTATATTTTATGTGATATCAATAATATTATTTTGTAGTTTTAACATTCTTTGGAGTTACCTTTCTTTGGAATGATACAAATATGGATCTCTTTCAGTCAATTGGTCAAGTAGCTTCTTCCAAATTTCCTGGTAAAGATGGGTAAATGCTTTATCAGCTTGTTGAAACATTTCAACAGGTAGTCCCATCAATTTCCAGAACCTTGTTTTTAGTTAATGTTTTCAATGGCACGTGAAACAGCTGCCTTCAGCAACATTAGTTCTTGCTCATATGCTACCTCCTAATATGCTGGAATGTTGACTTGTTCTTTTGATACACTGACTGTGTATTCTTTTTATTTTCTTTTGATGTTTCTTGTATCCTTTTATATTTTCCCCATAGAATCCTTCAATATTGCCACTTGAGGCTTGAGCATTTTTCTTGAATTACTTTAGTTTAAGATATGCTGAAAATGTTTGTTTTTTTTAATCATTTTATTGGGGGCTCATACAACTCTTATCACAATCCATAGATACATCCATTGTTAAGCACATTGTACATTTGTTGCCATTATCATTCTCAAAACATTTTCCTTCTACTTGAGACCTTGGTATCAGCTCCTCATTTTTTTCCTTCCCTCCCTGCCCGTCCTCCCTCATGAACTCTTGATAATTTATAAGTTATCATTTTTCATGTCTTACACTGTGTAACGTCTCCCTTCACCCGTTTTTCTATTGTGTGTCCCCCAGGGAGGGGGTTATATGTGATCGGTTCCCCCTTTCTATCCAACTTCCCTCCACCTTCTTGGTATCGCCACTCTCACCACTGGTCCTGAGGGGTTCATCTGTCCTGGATTCCCTGTTTCCAGTTTCTGTCTGTACCAATGTACATCCTCTTGTCAGGTAGAATTGGGATCCTGATAGTCGGGGGGAAGGAAGCATTAAAGAACTAGAGGAAAGTTGTATGTTTCATCGGTGCCATACTGCACCCTGACTGGCTCGTCTCCTCCCTGAAACCCTTCTGTAAGGGGATATATAGTTGCCCACAGATGGACTTTGGGTCCCCACTCTGCGCTCCTCCTCATTCATAATGATATGATTTTTTGTTCTTTGATGCCTGATACCTGATCCCTTTGACACCTCGTTATCACACAGGCTGATGTGCTTCTTCCATGCGGGCTCAGTTGCTCCTCAGCTAGATGACCGCTTGTTTATCTTCAAGCCTTTAAGACCCCAGACACTATATCTTTTGATAGCAGGGCACCATCAGCTTTCTTCACCACCTTTGCTTATGCACCCGCTTTGTCTTCAGCGATCGTGTCAGGAAGGTGAGCATCATGGAATGCCAGTTTAGTTCTTGTATTGAGTGGAGGCCCAATGTCCATTGAGAATGTTCTTTTTTTTTCTACCTCTAAGTCTACACACTTCTTTATAATATTTACTTTGTCTTCTCAAGGAGCCCTTTGAAATTTTTGGTTCAGCTTTCTGACTTCATCATTTCTTCCATTTGCCTTAGCTATTCTATAATTAAGAGAACATTTCAGAGTCTCTTCTGACATCCACTTTGATTTTTTCTTTCTTTCCTATTTTTTAAATGACCTTTTACTTTCTCCGAATGATGTTCCTGATGTCCCCTCACAGCTCATCAGATTCATCAGGCTCATCATTGAACACTAATAATTAATGTTCAGTGCAGTAAATCTGTTCTTGAGATTTCCTCAACATTCAAGTGGGAGAGACTCAAGGTCATATTTCTGCTCTGCTGGACTTGTTTTAATTTTCTTCACCTTCAACCAGAGCTTACATATGAGCAATTGATGGTTACTTCCACATTTAGCCCGGGCCTGGGTTTATATGCTGACATTGAGCTTCTCCTTTAACCCGTCCCATAGTTATAGTCAATTTGATT